TACTATTTTGAAGGTAGACTCTAATTTGATTGTTTGGAGCCTAGGCTCTATACAAACCACACCCATCTAAAAAACAATTGTAACTACCAATCCAAATATTTTTTTAGGGAAATTTATGTACGGACCTGTTTTGAATAGCGTTAAAATGAAATGGCTCAAAAATATGTTGTTATTACCTGGAAAGATGGGAACCGCGAATTTTTTATTTTTTACCAAGTTTGCCCCCAGTCCAATTTTAGAAACATCAAGCTGCTTTTTTTTCGAAATTTTTCCTTTTTGTGACAAGTTTGTCCTTGTTTGATTTTTGAAACCTCCGACAGCTTGGTAACATTTCAAAGTGGTCCAATGTTATCAAAATCGGACCCTATTTTTAATCATAAAGAAGAAGTGTTAGTGGTCCGGACCGCATTTTCAATAAAAATAAACACCAGTTTAACAACGGACCGTATTTTCAAACAAGACTGCTTTTTTGACAAATAAAAATTTGAGGGGAAAAAAAAGCAAAAAAAAAAACCCAAGCGAACATAAGGCAATCCTCTCTCTCATGCCAACCAAGATCTCTTTATCCCCTGCAACTTTCTCTCACTAGTTAGTGGGGCCAACCGCATCCTCTGCCGCCTATTTATATACCCATCCAAATCCCCGCAATGCACCAGTATCATAGAGAGAGAAAGAGAGAGAATAGTTAGAGAGAGTCGACGGATAATGGAAAGGGGAAGCTAAAGAGATAAAACTCATAGATTAGAGAGATGAATAGCAGCAAGGCGCTCGCTGCTATTTAGAGCTTCCATTTTCATCGCTCTCTTCTTTGTGTTCTTTCTCACTCTAACTTCTTCGAACTCAGCTCTCGCACCAGTCAAAAATAATTTCATAAAATTTCCAAGTGAAACAAGCGGTCGACCAAAAACTGTTGAAATTTCTAAACAAACGCCGACAGGGGGCAAATTTGTCCAAAAACAAAATGGGGTTCCGTCCTTCTTGGTAATATTGGCTTATTTTTTAGCTATTTCGTTACAACAGACCTTTAATCTAATCCGTACGTAAATTGCCCATTAATATAATTATTATTCTAATTTTAAAAATGTATTTATTTTTCATGTTCATGATCTCCATGTTAAATATTTGTTTACGATGCAAATCAGATAGATCTTCAGAGGAAGATCCCTCAAATCTGAACATCACGAATTGACTTTAAAAAGAAGTGATAGAGATAGTGGGGACAATCGAATTCTGATCTGATGCCATATCTACTTAAAAATGAACATATCTACTATCAGATCAGTGACAGATCCAACATCGATCCGAAGTATACGAAATAAATGTAACAAAACTAATCTAATTCTAATTGAAATGAATAAAACAGAAAAGAAAAGCAGAAAGAGTTAAAAAAAATACCAAACCGGACCAGATGGCCCGAGGGTCCAATGGCTTCGCGGCCACGCCCATATCAGGATCGGCTAGATTTATGTCATACATCCTCTGTATCTCTCTCCAAGTTCTGACCAAGCCTTGGCATGGTTGAATGACTTTCTCGATCTAAGGGTGGCTTAAAACTAGGGTTTTCCTAGGTAGGTCAAGTCTCAGGTCCAGGATTTCTCAAGAATCTAGGTTTCGACAGGTCTCAAATTCTCAGCATATAATTCTCTGCCTATGTCTCAAACTCAAAAAAAAAAGCTCCTCGAAATCAAGCTTTTATAGCCTGAAAATCGTCTGGGATGGGAAACATGTCATAACCAGTAGATCTCCTAGCCTGGATTGCCGTTTTGGTAGTCCAAGGCTTGGGCGACACCAAGAGCATCGCCCAGGACAAAATGATCCTGGTTCATTGAACCTGGCCAAAATTTGTCTTAGGAAGGCTTGACAGGCGGAAACTACCATTTTGGACCAGTTAGAGCAGGGCAGCACTAGAAGCATCACTCAGGCCAAATGTGCTCAAAACTAACAAATTTCAATTCAAGGCTGATTTGGGCGCTGTCAAGATGCTCCCTGTCAAAAATCAACGAATTTGGGTCAATCTTGGGCTAGGCGACACTAAGAGCATCACCTAAACCAAATTTGCTCAAAACGGTATATTTCAATTCAGGGCAGATCTTAAGGCTATCGAGATGCTGCCTACCAAAAATCAGTGGATTTGGGTCTATCTAGGCTGGGCGACACCAAGAGCGTCGCCCAGCCTTGCTCGACACCACCAGTCTAAGCAAGGTGACACTAAGAGCATAGCTCAGACCAAATCTGCTCAAAATTACAAAGTTCCAATTCATGACTGATGTACGGGCTCTTTTGACAAAACAAGGTATTTTACTATTTTTAATGATTTGTTTACTAAAACAGGGTATTCTGCAGAATTCTAGATCACAGGACAGGCAATATGGATCATGGTGGTCTATGATATGGGGGTTTGCTTGGATAGTGTGGTCTTAAGGGTTCAGAAAAACCACAGGATTTGCCAGTTTTAAAATGGTGTCTACAATTGCCCCTTATTGACACTCCCTGTCCTTCGAGGGACAGGTGAGTGACAAAGAAGTAGACACTCCTTGGCGCTCACTGTCCTTCAAGGGGCAGGTGAGCGAAAAGGATAATGCAGACATTTTAAATTTCATCCTGAAGTTTTGTGGTCAGATGGCATACCAACTATCCCTCCATGACATTGCACTCTTTGCTCACCTACCTAAGGCATTTTCATCCTAGGGTTTTCGACGTGAGATGTAGGTGAGTTATACAAGCTTAAACTCGAACTGGATTTTCTGGCCATGTCACTTAACTTCAGGGGTTTTCACAATTTCAAATTCTTAAACCTGCCATTTTCTTTGATTTTCTTTGGGTTTCCTAAGGTCTTCTATAGGCTTTTCTTGTTTTAGGAAAATGTTTGCCTGGTCAATTACTGAAGAGAGAGATGAGGAGGCAATGCGGTAATCATCATATACGGGTGTCCAAGCTCCTTCGTTTCTTAAAGCCTTTTTAGAAATTTTGAAAACAAGGGGAAATTTTGAAATGGAACCCAAAGCTTTGGACAAGTTACAATTTTAACAAAGAAATTAAAATTTTTGAAAGCACAAAATATATAATTAAAATTTTGAAATGAAAAAGATAGTTTGAAGAACAAACTTTTAGTTAGCAGTTTTAGCTTCTACAACTATGTAGCCTTCTAAGCAGTTTGACATCATGCAATGATGGACAAATACACTTGACCCTTCATGTCATATGGGGCTAAATGAATACACCTGACCTTTTATGTTATACAGGGCTAGACATTTTCTGAATACACCTGACCTTTTACGTCATACGGGGACTAGACATTTTTTGAATACACCCAACCTTTTACGTCATACGGGGTTAGACGGATACACCCGACTTTTTATATTATACACGGCTAGACATTTTCTGAATACACCCGACCTTTTACGTCATACGGGATTAGACATTTTTCTTGTCTCGGCTCTTTTACGTCGCACGAGTTTGACATTTTCCTGTCTCTGCTCTTTTACGTCGCACGAG